CAGGGAAATTAACTCGATGCCGGTTGAGAGCCACTGAACTATGTGTTACACGAAGGCATTGTTGTACATCCAGATAACGCCTACCTGCCGGATTGGTCGGCTGGGTGGTCCCCAATTGCCACGCCCATTCGGAGACTCTATATACTTGCCCCCACCGCCGCTGGTCTCACCACCGCCACACGGACACACGAAACAACAATCTTTCTCTCCTTCTCGTTCCGTTCGACTCTATAATACACACGTCGTCGCCGTCGCTTCCGTTGCTGCTACTCTACATCGACGGCCCTTTTTCCACCGTAGCGTTCGTTCTCTCTTCAACGTTCCTGTGCACCGCGCGCGCAATTCGAGGAGAGCCGAGCCGCATCTGTGTGTGCGTGCGCGAGTTTGCGGAAAGGTATACGTTTATTCGCACTTTTTTCTTTTCTTTTTGACCACCCAACGATCCAAGGGTAAGTTTCCGCTGTTCTCGACGTAAATTCTTTCGGCTCCTTTCTATTGTATGTTGGTTCAACGTTTTTTTTTTTTTTAAATAAGCATGTAACAAAAGCTCCGCTAAGATATTATTAGGTTGGTCTGGAAGCTCGAGTAATTTTAGAAAAATTATCCTTCTTGGTTTTCAGGGAACTTGTTAATATCTCTCACAGCGATATGCTAATGTTTTGGTATTATCGAACGAAACCATTCGTTAAATTTTCGTACATTTTCAAAGTTTAGTTATTATTAGTCTGTTACGCATCCTCGAGAGATTATAAAATCACATAAAATTCGAATCAGATCAACCTCTGATCAAATTAATGCATACCCAGTGAGTCGTAGAAGTAATTCATATCCCTTGAATCGTTTAAATCAAATGAGAGACAAGCTTTCTGAGATATAATATTTTAAAATGTTTATTGACAGGAATATGCTTTTGCTACTAATGCTGTATCCAAAATATCCTGCAAACTGTAATATTATCGGGAATAATGATTTTGTGGATATTTTTGTAATAAATCTTCTCTACTGAAAAATAATGATTTAAGGTAAAGAAAAAGCAGTTTAAATAAACTATTGATTGTTTTAAATTTATAACCAAATCTGCCTCTTTTAAACATTCTCCAAGATTTAAAGAATTGGTTATTATTTTATGAAATAATGATTATTTATTTACGACACGGTTCATATATTTGTACGGCAGCGGTAACATGCCCGAAATTTCTCGTTACGGTTGTATTTTTAATAATACACGGGAAATTATACACAGCCGGCAGGTAGCCAGCAAGATTTTACGACATGAAAACCGCTTCCAGATGTTGGTCATTTAGCGATACAGCGTGGCCTATTCGGTGCAACAAGTTCTCACGCCAAAATTACTATGCGACCACACGAAAACTCAGCAGAAATCGTAACTGGAAATTTCGAGCTTTCCTCTGTTTAACTCGTATTCCATAACAAAAGAAATAAGACGAGATCATTTTATAAATGGATGCTATTTCAAATAGTGCCATTTCACTTCTTTATTTGGAGGAACGCATTCGATTAAAAAATTAAATACATTGCACTTTTAACGTTTCACTCCGTGATGCTGTGTTCCTTAAGTATTCTTAAAATCCCTTCAAAGAAAGAAAGAAATTTTTCGCGTATATATACAGTATGGCTAGAAGTTTAAAGCTTACAATTTAAATTCGATGTAACACATGTACCAACAAATATAGAAGAACCCAGCAAATTGCAACTGCCTGATAAATCTTTGGAATCGGTATTGTGTATTAACATTTATGGCTTGCAGCGTTTTTACTTAGTGCTTAATTTTTTTATACGTGCTGCCACCAACGAGGTATAGAATAGACCTATCATCTTATGGGACTTCGTGTTTCATGTTCTGAAATACCGATCGTGTAAAAAGTCAGCGAAAAGACTTATTGCGGCTTCTATGATAAAATGCTGAAGCTACTATCCAGTTAGTACCATATTCTTTCTGGTAGATGTCGCTATGATATGGTTTTGGAGGACAATTTCATTAAAATATGCAAATGTAACAATTTTTGTTGAACAATATTGAATTTAAATCTCCTGAACTCATCGAAATCAATAGTGATTACGATTATAATTCTTTTTAAATAATATGTATTGAAGATTTCTGAGTTTCAAATCGATAATAACAGTATCGCCATCTAACAACGGTTAACACTGTGTCTCGTCATGCGCTCTTGTTTAGTTCACTTTGAATAGCTCTTACAGCGTTATGCGGACAGATTTCGGCTTCATCAAGCATTCGATTTACAGCATGAAAAACGTATATTAATCCCCGTATATTGATAATAACAATAAATGAACAGAACACTATTAAAATCGCATTTAATCGCGGAATACCACTATTTTTTTGACTGGTGGCGCCACCCGTGGCAATTCGCTCAAACTGCTAGCTAAATCATACCGACAGGTGAGTGAAAATTCCTAGTGATGGAAAAATGCGAATATCTCAGTAATTAAGCGTTCAAAATGAACACGGTTAGTCTCACATTATTCCTGAGAGCTTAATGCATCGACTCAATACTGCAGAACCCCAGAATTAGTACAATTATTATTGCCTGTATTAACGTTGACCCTTATGGAGTGGCAACCCTGTTTGTATAGATTTCAATCGCATTTACACAGCTAAACGGGCCTCATTCTTCTTCGTCTTGCATTAGATACACCGTTTAAAGAACGTAGATTAATACTATCCAACGGCTGGGTACCAGTAATTACAAAACATTGATAAAATCGCAATTTATTTGCAACGGTTGACAGTGTACTCGTCTTGCGTACCCCGGTTAGTACAATTTGGACAGCTCGTACACCGTTATACGGACAGCTTTCGTTTAGCTGAAGCACTCAATTTGTAGCTAAACGTACGTAGATTAATCCACTGTTATTGATAATAACAATAAGCGACCAGAATACTGTTAAAATCGCATTTAATCGCGGAGTACCACTATTTTTTGTACTGCTGGCGCCATCCGTGGCGAATCGCTGAAACTGCTAACCAATTATATGGCTAGCAGTTTCAGAGTTACGCCACGGATGGCGCCACCAGTCGAAAAA